AACGATCGTTACGTGTATGGTATGCTTAAGCCTTTTATGTGCACACTATATATTTAACAAATATTTTACTGTACGAACGATCAGGGGCGTATTTCGACTTAATTCTAGAGGGAGGGGATGATTCAAATTTTTTTCAGGCTCAACATTTACAAGACAAATTTTGGTAATATTTAAATCTGGTTCTTTTTTATCATCTGTCTGTGTTTTGAAGGTTACACTTGTGTTTTATTTGATTTTTCACTAAATATGGACTCGACAAAAAGCCCAATTCAGTATTCACAGCCACGCGTAATTTGATGTTGTTATAAAATGATCCGCATTAAAAAAATTTGTAATGTGTATCTCACATACTAGTATAATCGATTCCTTAAATACGGATTCAGGGGGGGGGGGATCGTTCCTTTCCCCCCCCCCCCCCTAAATACGCTCCTGTGGACGATGCTGCGAGTTGTCCAAGACACGTATCTAAAGATCGCAGTTTAAACATACCCGCACGCACACAATTACCGCGCGGTCGTCTATAAGTTGTAATATACGTGTTCAGAATAGTTCAGGCGACGCTGCCGGTTGTCCCAACACTGCTCAGCAGTGGCGTACATAGATCTGAACTTTGAGGAGGGTTTTAATTTTTAAATTAACATATTGGATGGCGTGACACCTGAACATAAAAAAAAACATATCGTATATTTTAATAAATTACTAATTTTTATTTGTGATATTTTTTTTATTGACATGTCATAATAAAATATGTATTGAAGTCTAAAATAACTTAACTTATTACTAAGCCATACATAAAAAAAAAAAAATTAAATAATTTAATTATCATTTATTTATTTTACATAGATATTTTTTTTTAAAACATTCATTTTCTATTTTTTTCCGAAAAAAATATTGACCACCTTACTACTTTTTATTGGTATTTCTCTATGGATACTTAGATTAGCCAATCCATTTAGTCGATTTTCTCCCATAGAATTCCTCAAATATGATTTCAAACGCTTCAACGTTGAAAAGCTCCGTTCTACGCTAGCAACTGTAACGGGAAACGTAGCATCAATTTTTAAATATTGGTATACTTTAGAGAACAGTAACTCATCACAACAACTAATTACATCTATAAAAATGCAAGGAAGATTATTTTCTGCGGCTGTCGATTTTGTTCGATTGTCGCTAATCGGGCTGCATTAAGCTGATGGCTAACATCAACGATTCTTTTTTCGTGTACATCTATAAAATTCTGAGCAATTATACAAGAAGTTTTATGATATTCTAAATTTTTTGTGATACCGGAATTGTTCTTTTGCATCTTTCCAACGACAGAATGGAGTTACTACGAGGGCCTTTATGGATATATGACTTCCTTTTCCCACTTCTTTAGAACAAAATAAAAAACAGAAACGCTAGGTGATTAAAAATAAAATAAATACGTTTAAAGATGACGATAGACTGCAATATCTTCGTGGAATTACCCGTATTGCCGTACAAAGGTATTTTAAAATGTACGCTGTTTATTTTATTATGATGGAGAATTTGTAATACCTAAGTACAATATGATATTACAGGTACCAGATATTTTAGTTTTCTCATAAAAAGTTAATTCATCCTAAAAATTTCGGGAGGGGGGGGTTATCCCCCCTCGTTAGTATGCCACTGCTAATCAGTGTTCGTGTTTACATGAGTACACACTACACATACACTCCTGGTATCTGAAGAAACAAATTTAATGTTCGCACATGAAAAAATGTGTATAATCATTTATTATTATAATAAACATTTATTATTTATTATTAATAAATATATGTTATTATACTACATAATATACATAATACTTTAATATAATGTATATTATATAATTATTCGAAAAGTGCAGTTTAATAAGTTAGTCTTTAAAAATGTGTACAATGAATTTTCTTCTTTTCATTAATTTTATATCGTCCCGTCATCCAAGCCACGAGCCGCCACTGGAGTTTATCCACAGTAACTTTACTAAAAGTTCTTAAAATACTTAAAATTATCTTGAAAATAAATTACCTTACATATCGTCAGTTTACTAACAAAAACTTAATTTTGAACACATCATTTTTCTTTCGACGATACTTCTTTTTGTCAAAATTAAAATATTCACATTTTCATATATTTACTAATGAAATATTTATCATAACTTATTTTTTCTATTTTGTAATTTAGAGAGCTCTGTTTACAATTCTCTTTCAATTATGATAATTTTAAAATTCATCCGTCTTATTTGCATACCAATTGTGTCGATTAGTAGGTCAGTAAACGATTTTTTATTTTAATTAAATGTTTCATGTTTCATAGCATATTTTTATAGTACCTATTCGTATTTGTTCGTGAGTTTTCAATAAATTTTATTTTTCCTCGTTTGTAAAAATTGTTATTTTAACATAATGTGCGATTTTTCATGATATTTTGACGAGTTTCGTTAACCTGTAGTCTCTAAATGTTAATAAAAAAAAATTATGAAATTACACTAATTTATTTTTTTTAGACCTCTTTGACCTAAGCTTACATGATAGTTTGTATTGTGAGGCTATATTTTTAGAAAGATATTAATAATTTTTATAATGGGCGTTTTATTTCATAAAATAATCAGGTAATTTATTTTATAATGACATCAAAATTATAAGAACATAAAGTATAATTAATTTAACTTTGGAATTCGATAACAATATTAATGCTTATACGTACGAATGATGTAATACAATCGATTTATTGTAGTTTGCGTGAAAACACAGTATTCACTTTTTAAGTTTTTAGAAATGTTCATTGTAACCTCATTTGTACAGTGATACAATAACTTGATTAATTTTTAAAGTTTTGTCACATTTTTTAAATATTTTATATTTGTGGTATTTATTTTATATTATGATTATTTTATAATTAAATACTTATGATAAATATTTGTACTATTTTATATTTTTTATTCTCTGCCTAGATACATGAAATATATAATTCACTGATGATTTATTCGAAAGATGATAAAAAAAGTAGTTGATACTACTTCAACTGAGCAGGTGCGGATACAAGGGGGGGGGCTATGGGAGCAATGGCCCCCCCAAATTTTTTAAAAAAAAAGGTCGGGGAAAAAATTATATGTATACATACTATATAATATATTAAAACAATATTTAAAATTATTCTTATAACATATTTTCTTTATTAGATTATAATGATTTGTAAAATTCATATTGGTTTCGGTCGATTCTATTTATAGTTCTGTAATTTCTATTTTTTTATAATCGCATCGGCGTTGGCTAACGACGGCGTAGATCGTTCACGTTATCTTATCGTCGTAATCACACATACTACATTGACTATTTCTATTATTACAATATTAAATATAATAAAACATTATCATTAAATTTAATTTCAATCATTATTATCATTATTATGCTAGTGTCAAAATAATGTAACATAATAAACCCTGATAATTAATTGATATTATTTGATGGCCCCCCCCGTAAATCTATTCTGGATCCGCGCCTGCAACTGAGTATTACCTAATTGTATTATATTATTCGTATTCATTACACATTATACCAATAATTATACTAATTAAACCAATGGCTATAGAGTAGTCAATAGTATACAGATAGAGAGACCAAAAAAACTATTCGATTATTTTATCATTTGACTGAAAAAAACCATTCTTTTATTTCATCATTCTAGTAAAAATATCTAGTGAACGACTAATGACTAACAAATTAGTCAGTAGTGAAAAATAAGTAAATAAGTTGATTATTAATAATGACTAATGACTAATGTAAATAATAAACCGACGTGCGCACGGGTGATGAAGGGTATGCAAGCGCACCATCTGCGGCAATGCGGCTTACGTAAGCTATTTTTAAAACATTATCGCTCTTTGTAACAATTCCGGTTACAAGTTTTAGCTGTGAAAGAGCCTTTTCAAAATTCAGTTTGGTCAAAAATAAATTAAGGAGTCAGATGTCACAAGAACGTCTTGAGTGTTTATTAATGTTATTTGTAGAGCAAGAAATGGCTAAAAATTTAAATTTTGAAGATATCATTGAAGAATTTAAATCTTTAACTCCAGCCATACGTCGTCTTGAACTTTAACTTTCATATAGATATTAAGTGAAAATGTATGTTCCTCATAAATATTATATTATAAGTAAATAAATAATTAATAAATGTTTTTTTTGGTTATTTTGTATTTTTTTTAAGGTAAATGGTAATGATTATACAATTAATAAAAAAAATTATTTTAAGTTAAACCATTCCAAATATTTCTAATATTTTAACATTAAACATTTTAATTGATGGCAAAAATATTAGTGGTAAATAGTAAAATAGGAATGCACCACCTGCACCACCTGAGTATTGTCTGCGCACGCCTATGCCGACTAACGAATATTTCGTATATTATACATATAATATTATACAAATAACCCATTAGTAATATTTCCAGTATCCACCAAAATACCAAAATAAATAAATAGAACCTCTTATTTTTTCATTATTTATATTATTAATAATCTATTGACTATAGATAATATTAGATATTTATAGAACAGAAATAATATAATAATTTCTGTACAACTTTATTCAGTTTATTTTGGTTATATTCTTGGAATATTGTTCATTCACTGTGTCGTTAGTTAGTTGGTTTTAAATATTCGTTAGTTATTAGTAGTTGGTTTTCAATACTTGTTAGTCGTTATACTATTTGTTGTTATTCGGTTGTAAAAATTATAACCGACTATTAGTCGGTTTTTTAGAGTAAAATATGATTATTATTCGGTTGTGCCCATCACTAAAAAGAACCATTCAATTATTTTATCGTTTGCGTGAAAAATTAATTCAAAGGATTTATCGATTATTAAAATCAATCTATTACTTTGTTTTTGACTACCAATCATTTGATTATTCTATTATTTATTATTATTATTATTATTATTTTTTTTGATAACTAATCATTCGATTATTTCCAACACTAGTTTTGGATAAAAAGAACGCGAACACGAAGAGGCATGATGACATGGCGGACAGCGTTAACGAGTGGCTTTGACGCCGCGCGCAGTCGATCGTATCTGATTAGCCGAGGTCGATCCCGAGAAATGGATACACTGACACATTACGTTTTCTACCACAGTTCAAATGAATGTTTCATGTGATACTACTTTGGTTGCCGAAAAACCCGCACGAGCCGCAGCGGTGTGTGTAGCTCTGGATCGTGCGCGTCCGACATTTTGTGTTTCGCCGTTGTCGCTGTTGCGTTTGCCGTTCTACAGATCTGCTACCGTCACCAACCTTCGCCGCTGCACCGGACTGCGTTTACGTGTCGAATTACCACGGGATATCGACCAGTGAGTACATTCTAATCGCTTTGCGATAATATTTTTCATCGTTTTTCTGTTTCATTTTGTTCGTTGTATGCGTGCGCCACTTGTTTATTTGGTATTGACTATACAGGGTCACTTAAAGCGTACTCGAAAATTGAATAGCGTTGACTCGTAAACCGTTTATAAATGTTTTTTTCTTCTGTTTTTTTATAATTTATCTTGATGGCCCGAATCGTTTATAATTCCGCTTTAGATTTCAGTGGTCCACTGAACACTGCAGTGCAATTCAAACAATAGTAACAGTCACGGTTCGTGGATAAACTCTCTCTTCAAAAATTGTCATTAATTATTCACGATGCGTTTGCTAATGTATAATTCATGTGTAAAGCCGGGTTGATAGTTTTGTGCGACAATAAATTGTCATGGAAGTGAAATGTCTATACTGTGACAGTATATCGCAATAGTTCTATCTAGTAGTACGGATTTTGAATATGTTTTTAAAAACTATTTTTATTATATTATTATATATCAAACTTATTAAAATGCCTTCTGATGACATTATGTTTGGAATTCGTAAGATCGAAGAATTAATTGCCATCAAACGAAATTCTGATAAGCGAAGAAGTAAAATATGAGTTAAAAAGCGGATTTAGCGTAAACATAATTTTGATATATCTAATTACCTTTTGAAAGAGTTGACAGTAAAAGAAACTAAAGCTATTGTAATTAGTTGGTATTATTATTACTATTATTTGTTGATAGTACTATCAACCGTGATAGTTTAGAAGTCTTTTCATAACAGTCTGATTGTTTCTATAAAACTATAAAAACATATACACAATTGTAGCATCACGATAGTTGCTGTCATGACGATCTATTGCATAAATCATCGTGTAAAACCGGCTTAAAAAATAGTTTTCTATTAACACATAATCAGTTTATCGGAGTTTAAAAAAACTATCCATTTTATATTTAACTGCATGGCTGTGGAATACACAATATTATCGTAGAGAAAACCTATTAGAATATTAATGGATTCTGGGTACAACGCACATTGTCAATCGTCTATTATCGTCTAATCATACATCATCTGAGAATACAAATAACTACCCACTGTGCATGAAGTGGTTTGTGCTGTATTTAAGAAATGATATGTTTTTATTTGATTTATATAATACATGATGTTTCTGAAATCGTTAAAGTAACTAATATGATCTAACTCTTTGGAGGGGTCAAATGAAGATATTTTTAATTTTTATCACCATTTAATAATACGAGTTTATTTGAATATTTTTTTATGGAGTGTTATCTAAATTGACAATACCTTTTTTAAATTTTTATTTAATTTTTTTTCTATTTCTATATTTATTACATAACTGTTATTATGGATAAATAATGATTACGTGTTTAAACAAATGTCAATTATAAAATAATGTTATTAATTTATTAATTTCTTAAATTTAGATTATAATGATCTGTATATTATTATACAAAAGAGAATCTATTAATTTAGATAAAAATATCAGATTTGTATTACCTAATTAAAAATATTTTTTAGTATTCAATACACGTAATGATTATTGAAGTTATACTGTTGAATAAAAAATTATTATACATAACAAATAAATTTAGTATTTTCATATGTTATTACATATAAATTTGGTAATTATTGAATTATGAAATATTATTGTTTTAAAATGTAAACTAATTAAACGGAATATATTCACTAATTAAACATTTATAAGCAAATATTTATATACTGTTTTTATTTTTAGTGGAAGAAACTAAAGAAACTAATAAATTTATGTATATGATGAAAAAAATGTGCATTTTTGACCCAAGAAACCCAAACAAGAAAAAATGTCTTGATTTACTGTACTGTCCAATTACCCAATCTTACTGTATGGGATTTGATACGATAAAAATTTTTTACGATGACGCTAACAATCCAAGTTCTATATCTAAATATCTAGATGCTTCAATCCATTTAAAATATAGAATGATTTACCAAGGCTTATTGTTGGTACAACATGATAACACACCAGCTTTAAATGAGTTTAAGAGAATTCTTCAGGTTTTATTTGACGAAACAATAGTAAATCGCACTTCCGTTAAGGATACAATGAAAATCTGTACTTTGATCGAATCAATACCTTCACTGCAAACGATTCACCAGTAAGTTGAAACTTTTTTCTTTTAATGATGGCATTTTCATTTGTATAAATGTATTAATTAATATGAAATTATATCTCGTTAAGGTCTTTGGATCAACTCATTCTAAAGATTAAACAACTACAGCACGATGAAGAGGAAGATGATTCAACTCAACCTGACTCATTGGTCATGGCAGGTGCTCCACCTATACCTGAAATGAAAGTTTTGAGAGATTTATATGAAATATTTTCAAATCCTCATAATGATTTAGATTGTAAGAATAAATTTAATTGTTTCTTATTAATATTATTATATATTTTTAATGATTGTAATTACAGGGGAGTCTTATGCTAATGACCATCTTGAAGAAGTTGAAACTGCACATAGTAATTCTATGTTGGTTAACCCGACAATTGTTACTCAAAATATTGACGGAATATTTGCCAAATGGCTTAAAACCATCAATCTCCATAAATATCAATGGTTTTTCAATGGCCTCAGTTATCTTGAAATAATGCTCATTGATGAGAAAAATATTAAAGATGCCATAGCTAAGGTGAACAAAAAATCTAATACTACATATGCCATTCCAAAACATATTCAAAAGGATATTTGCATTAAGACCAAAGCTTTAAAAAATCGACCAATCAAGATCAGAAACGCAATACTGGTAATTTTGCATTATAATTATTTTCACATTTTATGCTCAAACTTAAAATTTATAAAAATAAACTATTGAAATTAAATATTTTCTAATTTCAGGTTTTAAACTCTGACATGGAAGTATCACAATTGTTTAATATTATAACATACATGCAAGATATACTTCAATATCCTATACCCAATAGAAACTGTATGACTGGCGAAGTTCTACTAAATGAAATAGTCATTTTTATGGAATATTTTATATTGGAAATTAACACTCAATTGTTTGCAATCAAATTCATCAACCCTGAAAGTGTACTTGTAACCATAATCAAAAAGTACTTTGAATGCATATTTCTCATTCTTGAAAATCAAGTATTCATGGGAAAACATATTAAAAAAGTTAAATTTTTGAAAAAAATGTTGATAGATATAGTCCAGAGTATGCCCTATAAAAAATAAAGATTTATCAAAAATAGATTTGCTCACTTAATAGCTAAGTTAAAATTTTTTTTATTGTTAAATTTACAGTATCAGTTTGACACAATTATGTATGTACACATCAGGATACTAGAGATATTGTTAAAATAATCAAAGATGAATACATTTTAATTTCATAAATACCTATGATTATTTTTCGGAATTTAATTAATAATGACTGATAAAATCTGATAAGACTGATAATATTTTTTGATTATAGTGAGCCTATTTTTATTTTATGTCATTTACTATCAATCAAGTTTTATACATATATTTTATATATTAACGCTTTTGTACTGTGAAATTGAGTTAAAAGTAAAATAAAAGTACTTATTAAAAATGCACGCACAATTTGCATTTTTAATTGTATATTATTCCTACCCAGTGAAAATAACGAAAAAGTAAGTAGGTATTTTGCTATTTTTTACAAAATAGTCGGGAGACCATTATGTGTTAATGTTGTGGTATTTCTAACAACAAGTGCTGTCAGTATCATACTAGATTCCTCTATAACCAGATTTTTCAAACTGAAACACAGATGATGAACTTATAATTGGATAAAGGATATAGATTAGATTAATTAGATTTTATGTCTACAGCAGCGGTTTTTAACCTATAGTCCGTGGCCCTCTAGGGGTCCGTGATACTCATTCGGGGGTCTGCGACAACCCTAATACATAAAATATATCAATATGTGACATGAATGCATTGTTATAATATTGTTGGATTATTATTATTATTAATTTCTTTTTCATATATTTTTTATTATACAATAGATACATCTTATCTTCATAAGATGTTTAAAAATTGTACCTTAAGTATAACACCAACCATCACATTAAGTTAAAAAAATTAAATTTTAAGAAAATTAAAAAAAAAAAATAACTGAAAAAATTAAATTTAAATTAACTGAAAAATTAAATGTAATGAAAATAATTATAAATATGTATGTTTTGTTATGTCTAATAATATAATTTATTTTATAAAATCATTATTATAATTTTGGTAAGGTTATTAACATGAGATGTTTTGTAAAAAAAAATGTATTTGAAAACAAAATGGTAAGGGGGTTCGCAATTTCTAAAAATCTTTCATCAGGGATCCGTAATCTACAAAAGATTAAGAACCGCTGGTCTACAGTATCAGTTCTAAGTAAAAACAATATATATGAATCGGATTGATCAGTGGATTTGTTCTGAGATAATACCTAGAAATCAATTATACAAATAAACTGTTTAAATAATAAAACTGACAAAGGTTACCTCTAACATAATCTTATAATATATATTTAAATAATACACAATTTTGGAATTATATTTAGATGTCAAAGTGCTATACAGTTTCTGTTTAGATAAAAAGTATATTAAAAATGTAATGTACCTATATGGATTTTTATTCTTTGATCTATATCTCACGTGTAAAAATAAAAACATTAACTTACAATTACATTATAAACAATTATTGTTATAAACTTATTGCTAACAAAGACGTTCAATAAAATAACTTCTTAATTCGAAACTAATATTACAAGCAGAAGTGGTGTGACGGCAGATTTTTGAGTCCTTGGACTCAAGTCAGTGGGTGGGTAGGTGGATGATATCGAGTGGGTATATAGCATGTTTTTTACGAGCTACCCTTAAATTTATTTTTAGGTGGGTGGGCGAAATCCTAATAGGACTCATGAAGTAAAATATTTTGCGCCGTCATTGATGATTATAAGCCATTATTTTAATAAATTACCTATATAGCTCTGAATACGGTAAGTTCATAAACATATTTTGAAAAACTAGAAAATCAAACAAAAGTATGATTTTTATTCAATGATAAAAGATTTTTTCAAAACAACTTTGTAAATTTAATTCTAAAACAATAATTAGTTTTAAAAAAATCTTTAGCATAGCTGGAGGAAGGGTTTAACGGTTTATAACTCTTTCAAAATTTCTCTTATTTTGTAAAATATACAATAATTTTAATAACTTTTGCAGTTATAATTTTTAAAATATTTGTTTTTTAAATTTATGAGATATTTTTTCAAAATATTTTAGGTTTATTCCTGGAATACATTTTAAATGTTTCAAATTTTTAATGCTACCCATGATTATAGAATCAGTTTATTTTTTCTGATTTGTTACCTATCAATTAATTGAAACATTTATATTGCAGTCATCAGCTATTACAAAATTCCGTTAAAAAAATTTAAATTTCATGTAAAATCAAATCAACATAAACTAAGATTTTATTGTGATTACGGTTATTGCAATATATCGTTAATACTGTTAATGCTTGTTACATTTTACATTTTTGGGAAAGGCAAAATATAATTTTATACCGAACATTATTTATGATTCCTGCATAAATAGTAAATCTAGATTTGTTGTTGTATGATTTCATGGTTATGTAGCCAAATATAAGATTGAAAAACAATAAACATATAATTTATCAATATAGGAAATAAATAGGTTAGAATCAATCAAATTTAACAATCAAACAAAAAAAAGTTAATAATCAAATTGTTAGTATTATTAATTAGTATGAGGTAAAACACTAAAAATTACAAAGTTGTATATAATTAAGGTATAGATACTTACATGAAAATATAATTAATTATTAATGTACCTTACAAATAGTAAAAAAAAAAAAAATACAATTATTAAAAATAAAAAATAAATTTACTTATATTATATGAAATTTTAAATACATATAAAAAAAAACTAGAACAAGAATATCTTAATATATGGACAGGTGTACTGAGGTCACAGAATATGATAATTCAGATTTAATCTTTTATTTTATTGTTTTTTTTTTCAAGTCAAGCTTTACTTATGCCAAATATAATTTTATTTGGTTGATGATTAGTTTTTCAAGAAAATTTTGAAAAATAAAGATTTGTTTAATATCATCTATAAAAAATAAAAATAATGTACATAGGTTAGAAAAATTATAGAATATTTTTAGTTTATGAACTAAATGATGAGTAAGATATATAAATCTATTATATTAAATAGGTAGGTTACAATTTATTATAATTTATATTGTATACTGAGATTCATTAATTATATTAAATATAAATTAGTTTTAAAATTATAAAAAAATAATAATATATACATTAAAGTATTTACAAATATAACATTATTGGATTTTAATATTGAAAATGTTTTTTGCCCTATATATGAGAATAACATCTATCATCAAACATTTTATATAAATTAGAGCATGCAGTTGTTTTGAATAAAATTGTTCATCATTAAAATTGTCTTCAAAGTTATCAAGTTCTTCCAAAGTTTTTATTGGAAATTCTATATTTATCGTTATTTATTTGTTGGTAATTGTTTTTGTGTTGTGACAAGTTTCTTTTAAGTCTTAAAAGGTATTTTCAAGCCTAGATATTTTATAAATATTTTCTTTAACGTCTAGTTTAATTCGAAGAACTGTTTTATACATTTTTTTGTAAAATATCTCGGTGTAAATCTAAAATAAAATATTTTAAAAAGTATGTATTATAATATAAGTAATAAATATATTTGTACTTATTAAATTTTAATATTCTTTATACAATAATTATAGGCTAAAATGAATTTACATAAATGTATATGAATATGTATATCTACCATGGGATAAACAAAAGTTACTGACTTTGACTGATAAGTATGATAAGTAGAGGTGGTTAGTATGGCTCTTGAGTATTAGAAGTAGGAGACATCTAATGAAATGTAGTAGGAATATATGGTTAATAATAATAGGTATATAGTGAAGTTGATTGATGCTTATCATCTAAATTATGAATTTTGTTTATAAACATTCTACAGAAAATCAAGCAGGTCAGTCGACCTTACAGCCAAGCTTAAAAAAAGAAAGAGCGCGTTGCACCGGCTATAGAACGACGGTCGACTGTACAATACTTATTATACTCAGCACAATTTAATGGGGTTAAGCGGCATTCACGGTAGCCGGACGGGCAATATAAATGCAAATATTTTTATGAATTCTTATTATCTATGCCCACAGCTATCAAATAAGACAAGAACGAATATTCTGAATTCACCATAACCCTCAGTTTTAAGGGTACAAAAGTAGTCGATTTGATGAAAAATGGAAAAAAAAAAAACATTTTATTTAGGTAGAGAAAAAATGAATTTATGAAACTTAACAACAATTTTGATATTTTTTATTGGTGATGACTAGGGAACAAAAAAAAAAAAAAATTAAAAAAATTACTCAGAACAGCCCAAAATATCCCCTCTAAAATGTGAATAAATCTTAGATAGGTATGCATAAAACTCTTTTTTGGTATATTTAATGGGTGTATCAGAGTATATTTTAACATACAAAGTACGTGACACTAGTGTCCCAATTGATAATTGAATGATACCCAGTGGTGGGTGATCGTGACACCAACCAACACATTATCATAACGACCGTAGTGATATGAGTTGATTTTCCCTGTATGTACCTCTGCAGAAGAAGACCACGTCTATGAACTGCAATGGTAGACTATTTTACTGAAGTGCCGCCTAGTGAAAATTACTTAAGATATGTTTTGTGATGTATGCCAAAATTCAAGTCATTCCAGTAAATATATAATTCACCACTAACAAGGCCGTATCGGGGGGGGGGGGCCAGTGTGTCTGGACCCCCCCCCCCCCAAATGTCTTCAATATTTTACGAATGTTTAAAATACTTATTTATTTTTAATACCAACATAAATATTATCAGTCAAAAATGACTTAAGCTTCAATTAATTATTGACTGCTTTTAATTTTATATCATAATATCATATGAAAATATGATATTAATTTTAATAAAATAAGATTAAATCTTTTTCTGTCTTATTTTTAACCAAATATCAAAAGTTAAAATCTAAATTCAATAAAATTACAATATACATGTTTTAGACCTCACCCGAAAAAAATTTCTAGATTGGTACGGCCTTGACCACTAATATACAATGTCTAGTTGATTCGTTTGTATTCCAAACATTTTAT